TTCCCTCAGCCGTTCTCATAGGCCACCAGGTGACTCCCAAATCCATGCCTCAAGCTCAGTCCTCATTCCCAAGCTCCAGACCCCTGTATCCAACTCCTCAGCATCTTCTGGTTTTCTTTGTTCTCTTCTTTCTTTTAAATATATTTGTATTGATTTCAGAGAGGAAGGGAGAGGGAGAGAATCATTGATCGGCTGCCTCCTGCACGCCCCACACTGGGGATCAAGCCCGCAACCTGGGCATGTGCCCTGACTGGGAATCAAACCGTGACCTCCTGGTTCATAGGTCAAAGCTCAACCACTGAGCCACACCAGCCGGGCAGTCCTGGTTTTCTAATAGACACCTCAGCTACGACAGGCACAAAACTGACCCCTGATCTTTCCCTCCGACAATCCCTGCTGGTCCTACAGCTTCCCCCAAGTATGCAATGACTCTAACACCCTCTCACACGGGGGAGGTTCTCACATAGGTGGCTGTGAAGAGTAAATGAGATCACGGAGGCAAAGAGCCTAGCTTAGTTCCGTGTATACAGCTGACACTCAATATGGTAACAGATAGTCACCATCGTGTAGAGAGGGGTACAGAGAGGGCAGACCTAGGATGCTTTTCGGGAAAGGAAGTTGGGAGGTGGAGGGGAACGGAGAGCAGGTGCTAGGAGACCTCCTGGGTGAGGGCCTCAGGGGCACACCCCCAAGGCCAGTGGTCGGCAAACTCATTCGTCAACAGAGCCAATTATCAATAGTACGACGATTGACATTTCTTTTGAGAGCCAAATTTTTTAAACTTAAACTATATAGGTAGGTGCATTGTTATTAACTTAATTAGGGTACTCCTAAGGCTTAGGAAGAGCCACACTCAAGGGGCCAAAGAGCCGCATGTGGCTCGCGAGCCGCCGTTTGCCGACCACGGGACTGGATTATTCTATGAGATCTATCCCAAATCCCTTCCCCCACTGTGAAGTCTCCCATGTTGCTCCTAGGGAGGAACAAGGCGTCCTGCATTAGATCACAGCTGGGGGGCGGCAGCAAGAGACCATCGAAGTTAATCAGTTATCAAGTACAGGCCGACCAACAAAAGGCTGCGCACACTCCTGAGGCGTGCTGGAACAGAGAGCTAACTTTCAGGTGGCTATCTTCACGTTTATCTAAAGAAAATAGCCAGGCACCACCAACCCCCAGGCACCTCTGTTGCAAGAACGTTCCGGACCGCTGCCCGCCGCCAATCCGAAGGAGCCAACCCTTCTCCCGGTGGACTCTGCACCCATCTCAGAACCGGCCCCGCTCCCCCTCCCCCACCCTCTTGATCGATAGCCAGTGTACATTCTTTCAACACAGCTCCATCTTTCTCTTTTCCCCCACAGACACGATGTCCGAAAGCGCCGGGGACGCAGGCCGGCAGACATCGCTCCATCCAGCCCGGCGGCTGTGGTTTAGACTCCGTGCCCGGGACGCGGCCCTTTCCTGACTAGCATTTGGCTCAATAAACACTTCCTTTCAGAAAAGCTTCTGGCCGTGAAAGTGCTTTGTTTGAGAGGAGTATAATCCCCAAACACGTTTACGTTTCCTTCAGGCCTGCATTCAAATATCATGTTCTCGGTGAGAACACCCCCGGCCGCCCCTGGAAAAGATCAGTTCAACATGCCCCGTCCTCAACAGAAGCACAGTTCCTACCTCTCTCCCCTGCGTTATTCTTCCTCCTTCGCATCAGTCACATTTAATTTACATCCCCACTCAAATGAAGCTCCGACGAGCCAGGGATGTCTGTCTGTTTTGCTCACAGCTGGGTATCTATAGCTCTTAGAATTGTGCCTGGGACGCAAGAGGAGCTGAAACTATTTTTTTCAAATGAATGAACTATTAGCTACACTATGTAAGCACTTGCTCCGCACCAGGGACTTTTTTTATACAATCTAGCTCATTTTCATCTTCATAGCCACCCCGAAAGGTAGGGTAGTTATTTATGTTTTCTAGATGAGGACAGTGAGTCTCTGAGCGGTGAGATCAGTCACCCACGCTCAACATCATCATTTCTACCGGGCAGGGCTGGGTAGGGAGATCTGTCTGGCTCCAAAGCCTCAGCCATTACCTGTACCAAGATGAGCTGTGTTCAGGTGGAGGATCAAAGAAGGACCAGAGAGGGTTAAAGGAAGAAGCAACAGAAAATCTCTGGAAGTTCTATTGGACCAGTACTGTCCAGTAGAACTTGGTGCGGTAATAGAAATTCTATCTATTCTGACCAATGCGGAGGCCACTGGTCACATGGGCTATTGAGCGCTTGAAATGTGGCGAATGCAACTAAGGAACTACACTTTTCATTTGACTTCATTTTAATTAATTTAATTTTTTTTAATCCTCACCCAAGGATATTTTTCCATTGCTTTTTAGGGAGAGTAGAAGAGAGAGGGAAAGGCAGAGAGAAGCACTGATGTGAGAGAAAACACATGAATTGGTTGCCTCCTGCACGAGCCCCAATCACGGCCCGGGTGGGGAGGAGCCTGCAACCAAGGTGCATGCCTTTGACCGGAATTGAACCCAGGACCCTTTGGTCCACAGGCCGACGCTCTATCCTCTAAGCCAGTGATGGCGAACCTTTTGAGCTCGGCGTGTCAGCATTTTGAAAAACCCTAACTTAACTCTGGTGCCGTGTCACATATAGAAATTTTTTGATCTTTGCAACCATAGTAAAGCAAAGATTTATATTTTTGATATTTATTTTATAGATTTAAATGCCATTTAACAAAGAAAAATCAACCAAAAAAATGAGTTCGCGTGTCACCTCTGACACGCGTGTCAAAGGTTCGCCATCACTGAGCTAAGCCAAACCATCCAGGGCTGCATTAATTTAAATTTATAGAGCCACGCTTAGTAAGTGGCCACCGTATTAGAGAGCCGAGCTGCAGCCTGTAGGACTGGCTGGGGAAAAGCCCGGATTTGTGACAAGAATGCTCTCACTCACAGGGTTGGTGGCCTGCAGGCCGGGGAGACAGGGGGAGACGGGAGGGGTGCACATTTACACGGAGAGAACCCAGGCCACTCTGTGTAATCCTCCCAAACAGCCTGAGGGGGAGGGTTTGTTTACCCAGCCCAGGACGAGGTCACAGTCAGGGGCCATATGCCTGCTTCTTGGGGCCTTGGTCCCCGGGCAGAGGAGCTTCCTCTACGCCAGTGGTTCTCAACCTTCCTCATGCCGCGACCCTTTAATACAGTTCCTCATGTTGTGGTGACCCCCAACCATAAAACTATTTTCGTTGCTACTCCATAACTGTAATTTTGCTACTGTTATAAATCGTCATGTAAACATCTGATATGCAGGATGTATTTTCATTGTTACAAATTGAACATAATTAAAGCATAGTGATTAATCACAAAAACAGTATGTAATTATATATGTGTTTTCCGGTGGTCTTAGGCCACCCCTGTGAAAGGGTCGTTCGACCCCCCCCCCCAACGGGGTCGCGACCCACAGGTTGAAAACCGCTGCTCTACGCACTGTCTTTGGGGAGTTGGTGCTGAGCAGGAGAGCTGGGCTTCCTCAGTCCCTTTCAGGGATTTACACCTGACCCTGTTCAAGCCCCTTAAGTGTGGCGTCTGGGGGGCTGACCGCACACAGCCCCTCCTTCCACGGACTCAATACCTGTTTGTTGCAATGAAAAAACAAGGTCGGAGCCAAAGCAGGAAAAGATCTCTGGCAACTGGAAGCCCGCTGGGGGGAGGGCCTTCGTTCCGTTCCTCCACCACACCGTTTGCCAGTCCTCCTCAAACTTGCCAATCACAAGGGATTTTTGTTGAAAAGGACATTTCCCAAGACTCGCTCCCTGGCATTTCTCTTGGGTAAATCTGGAGCCAAGAACGAGCATTTTTGTCAAGCCCCCACCCCCACCCTTCACACACACACACACACAATTCTGACGCAACTAGACCCAGAACCACCCTTTTGAGAAATACTCATAAGGCTAGGGTAAGGCTAGGAAAGCGGGTAGACACTTGGGGCCGGAAGAAATGACCATAAAGGGAAGTGCAGAAGTTGAGACAGGACTTGGAGCGACAAAGGTGTATGTTTTGGGTGCGAGGGCCCTGCAGAAGGCCAAAGGAGAACCCGAGTCCCCTGTGTCCAGGCCTTCCCCACCCAACAGCTCAGTCCAGCGAGTCCAGCCCCGAGAAGCTGCTAATCCCAAGGGAAACAGGCTTCTGGCCATTGGGAGCCCACAGCCCCGGGAGCCAGTGGGTTTCCCCTCCAAACCCATCCCGGCCACTGCTACACCTCGGCCCCTCACTTCTCCAAAGCGAGACACCTCAGTCATTTGCTCCAGACTTCCTGCACACGGTCTTTATTTTTACTCTCAAGCCTGTGGGCTGAGCCTGTGTGGGTGTGGGAGGGGAGCTGGGTATTTTCTACATCTCTGTATTTTCCTTCTGAACTGGGAGGGCTTTCACTTCCTCCCCAAACTCTCAGTTCTGCCTTGAATTCACAGGCTGCCCAGGCCTGGAGACCACCCTGCCTGTCCTCCTGAGCACCAGGGAAATGGAGAACTGATGGGCACCTGGCTGCCTTCACAGTACCTCGCGCTGGGTGATCACTTAGGAGTGAAAGGAAGCCTTCGCTGCAGCTGTAACCCCCCTGGGCAGGTGCCCTGGCTGTGGGGTGAGGAGGCAGGGGAGCCTTGCTCCCTCCCGACCGCTGCCTCAACCCTGCCTCGCACCCCTCTGACACCAGGGTGGGCAAGCCCAGGCCCCCACTTCCCTGCCTTGGCCTCTTATGCTCCAGCACTCAGCCAGCCAGGGGTGACTCTCAATCTGCCCCCAACCACCCCTCCCCCCAGCTCCTCCTGCTGGGCTAGTTCTACAAGTGGGAATCTTGGGGATCTGCCACACCGGAGCTCAGGGACATGGGGGGTGGGCACCACCCAAAGGGCCTGGCAACTTCCCATCTCATCCTCTCTGAACCTCAGTCTCCTCTTCGGCACAAAGTGCCCTGAGATCCAGTGGAGGATTCGAAAACGCACCTGAAGCACAGGCGGCCTCGATCAACAGTGCCCGTTCTCTAGGCATGAGTTGTAAGTGTGTGCTGAGAAAAGGAATCCTTTCATTTCGCACCTCCCAGCACAAGGAACACAGCTATGCAGAAAGCAGAGAGCTGCGGGCGCACTGGTCTCCAGCCCGGGGCATTATCTCCCCGCAGGAGACAGCAGCTGCCCCAGGGTTTTCCGCCATGTCTTCAAAGAAGCCCTCAGACCCGAAAATAAACCTCTGGAGAAGCAGTTACCCAGCTGGACGAGAGAGACTAGGCATGCAGCCGGGCACGCTGCCAGGGGCAGATTACAGGCAACAGGAGCAAAAGTGCCCCCTGCCCCCTGCCTCACTCCTCCCTCGCCTCTGGAAGTGGAGTCCGGGGTGCGCCAGCCCCCAAGACGTCCCAATTGCTCCCCACTGAGGTGGAAATCCCAGGGTGGACACAGCTTGCAGAGAGCTGGTGTCTGCTGAAGCCTGAGCACGCATCCAGGAGGTCGTGACTCAGCGCCCAGGAGGGCAGTCCCTACACAGGCAGGACACTGTCATCCACACATCCAGCCGGGGAACTGAGGGGGGAGCCAGGCCAGGTGCGCCCCCAAAGCTGAGGGTAGAGGGGCGCCTTCGGCGGGAGCCCCACGGGCTGCGGTACCTGCCCTCAGAGTCACCCGGGACGCAGTGGTGTAAACTAAAGCCTCCGGGGAACACTGGGGGGAGACCCGAGAACCGGGGTTCTGAGGACACACCAAGCCCTGCGCGCGGGCGGCACGGCGC